CTGCGTGTGGGGAAAATTCTGGTACTTTGGGGCGACTTTATATTCTTGGTTTAGAGCTGTGTCGTGTGAACTGCTGGGAGTACGGTAGCAGTAATGATGTTCTCTATGGTCAGGCGTGTGGTTGCCGGCCGAATCCACAGGCATCTCCGAGTGCGGGTTTCTTGATGGAATCGAGCACACCAGAGATCTCCCTCCTTTTATTAGAGGCTGGCGCTGATGTAATATGCACATGGTCTACTACATGGGTTGATGAAAATAGGAAATTTTGGAAAATTGGCGTTGGTTTTTTGCATTCCTCTCATCTAAGTTGTTTGTGCATTCGCATGTGCTCATGAGGAAATCAAATATGTATTGTTACACTGATGAAACCACCTGAAGGGTGGCTAGGCTGCTAACTTTATCTAGGTTAATGCAACGCGCCCGAGTGATGGTGAAAGTGCTTTGATGTTAGCAGTGCGGGCAGGGGATGCCAGAATGGTCCGTCTCCTACTTGAAGTGAGATCACTTCATTGATGGGTTTGAAATATTTCTCTTCGCAGTTTGGTGCTAATCCGTCGGTTCGAAATCGTCGAAACGAATCACCGTTGATACTCGCAGCCCAGCTGAACAAGCATGAAATTTACTCCCTTCTCATCGGAAGGTAAATATGTTTCTTCGAATTTTCTGGTGGACATCTGAGCTCAGGTTGACAGCATGCTTGGATCGGCATAGGAAGAGTGGAGCGCCATTTTGACGGAAATGCTCATATGGGCGTCAGTCGAGTTTAATGCCTTGTATTCTGTATTCTCATTGTAGCATGCTTAAATGGAGCTCATTTCACTGGCAAACAATGTACTTGAGTTCATATAGTTAGGAGTGGATAGTTAACAATAGAGGCATTCTGAACGGTGGCTGCTAACATCAAATTGATCTCGATGGTCTCTAAGTGGGAACTATAGAATCCTGGTGGAATCTATTGAACGGGAGCGCACTCTGAAGGGTACCTCTGGCATATCGGCCCCGTACCGATATGCCGTCATGATATGGGTAAGATTGGTCATTCTAACAGCGAAATTGGTTTAGGAGTATCTTGGGGTGGCATAGCTGCCCCAGTCCGAGTGAGGGGTATCTCTGAATAAGGTGATTATGTTATTATTCCCTCACACATGATAGTATGGACAGGCATAATAATGTCATGGCAGTTTGGGGACGTCATTTAATGGCGGCCACACAACCCCGTCACAAATTATGTCCCGTCGCGATGACGAGGAAATCTCTTTAGCTTTAGATATCCCTCCTCAGCCCAATGGAGTAGTTGTTGGTCTGTTATCATTTCGTTTAAGCCGTTGATGGAATGAGTTTATCCTGTATTGAAGACTATATGCCTTCCAGCTTTGCTAACATCCTAAATTCATTCCCATAATGTCCACCCTCTACGAAAAGATCGGAGGCGAAGATGCCGTTAACGCCGCGGTTGAGTTGTAAGGTCTCTTTCTCGTCCTGTTCAGTTATCATTTCACGTTCGCAGGTTCTATAAGAAGAATCTCTCGGATGATCGTATCAAGGAGGTTTGGGCCAAGACCGATATGAACAAACTGAAAGACCATCAGAGAAGTTTCCTAACATACGTCTTCGGTGGTTCCAACAACTACACTGGCCGCAGGTAAGTCGACGTCCCTGTTGTTATTCATCATCACGAGTTGCTTTCTGTAGTATGAGAGCCGCTCATACAGGCTACAACATCACTGATGCCCAGTTTGACGCTGTAGTCGAGAATCTCACTAATACCATGAAGGAGCTCGGTATGTCAGACTCCACTCGCCGCCTTGTCATACATCTCTTGGTCAGGTATTGCACAGGAATATGTCGATCAAGTCAATGCCATCGCAAAGAGCGAGCATGACGATGTCGTCGGGCATTAGAGCCCATCAAGAGGCATACTATCGTCTCTTTTGACATTCCTATTCAGCGTTTTCGTGAAGTCAAGACTGTCGCGTTAGTTTGGTGACTTATTGCCAGTATAGGTTAATGGTGATTGAATGTGTTGCTGCTGTTGATCGATGACACAGTTTTGTGTCAGCAGGTCGCTCCCGCCTGATAGATTCTTAACGCCCCTCAGCTAGTTTAAGTGGATCGTACAACTTCACAGTGAACTTTCAAGGTGGAAATGACTAGCGAACTTGAAAGGATTTGGCTCCGATTTGCGAATCTCAGTGAGAACCAGCTAGTCCGTGACACAAGTTTGCTACTACTAAATAACTATGAGGTATATTCTGTACGTGACAGGTCCTACTTTTGGCGTCCCTACTCTGAATTGGCTACATAACTCTAAGAATTAATTACTCCTGTCCGATTGCTCATCGAAAGCATTGAACTCTCGTATGATTGTTCGCATTTATGCGAGTTATTCAATCAACTTATCTCAGCAGATATAACAGAGTGAGATCCACTCGACTAGACTTGGACTCATCGAATACCATCATTCTACGCTTTTCTGCACACAACATGTTCAGTGCTCTACAACTCGAGAGCGGATCAAGGGAATAGTAGGAAGGTCATTACTGTTAAGAAAGTATGGGACATTAACTTGATGAATCACCATTGTAGAGGGAACGTCGTTATTGTAAGTCGTTGTCATGAAGTGATAATAATGACGATCGTTCTATAATGGTGATTCAAATGCCGTCATGATACGGGCAAGATCACTTTTACTAACAGTGGAATTGATTCAGGAGTATTTTGGGATGGCATAGCTGCCCCAGCCTGGAGGAATTGATCCTACTATGCCGTGTGGGTGTTAAATCGATTATACCAAGGCATATCTTGGGGTGGCATAGCTGCCCCAGCCCGGAGGAATTGATCCTCCTATGCCGTGTGGGTGTGAAATCGATTATACCAAGGCATATCTTGGGGTGGCATAGCTGCCCCAGCCCGGAGGAATTGATCCTCCTATGCCGTGTGGGTGTGAAATCGATTATACCAAGGCATATCTTGGGGTGGCATAGCTGCCCCAGCCCGGAGGAATTGATCCTCCTATGCCGTGTGGGTGTTAAATCGATTATACCAAGGCATATCTTGGGGTGGCATAGCTGCCCCAGCCCGGAGGAATTGATCCTCCTATGCCGTGTGGGTGTGAAATCGATTATACCAAGGCATATCTTGGGGTGGCATAGCTGCCCCAGCCCGGAGGAATTGATCCTCCTATGCCGTGTGGGTGTTAAATCGATTATACCAAGGCATATCTTGGGGTGGCATAGCTGCCCCAGCCCGGAGGAATTGATCCTCCTATGCCGTGTGGGTGTTAAATCGACTATACCAAGGCATATCTTGGGGTGGCATAGCTGCCCCAGCCCGGAGGAATTGATCCTCCTATGCCGTGTGGGTGTGAAACCGATGATACCAAGGCCATGGGTGGCCATAATAAGCACCATTTGGTTACCTCTTCCTTCGTCCGGCCTGGTAACTGGGTAAAAACGTCACATTTTCGAATTTTCTCGCTCTTCACCGCACCGTTTTCAATCGGGACCGTCTTATATTAGGGCGAGCGCGGACGAAACTGCGCTGAACTCGTGTGTAACTCTTGCTTCCTTGAGATTCGTACATTGTTCTATCTCTCATCTCTCGTAACCCTAAAAATGACCCTCAAACTGTGCTAGGATATAGAGCGTCATCAGCGCCTCCTTCTGCATTATGTTGCCCATCAGGCGGAGTTCAATTTCTTCTTGCATAGTGCTGGTGATCTCTTCTGCGAGAACTGTTACCTCCCATAACTGTAATATGCCGGAGCCACATCTCTCCTCAGAATCGTATTGTGAAATCTCCTTGTTACATCTCTATGGGGAAATGTATGACAGTTTGCGCTGAGGAACATTAATCAAAGGCCGTTTAGGTCTAAACTTTAGACCGTAT